AGCCTCCAGCTGGGCCAGCTCAGGCAAGAAACCAACAGGTGGGCAGGGGTGGGACAGTGACCTGGGCCAGGAAGGTTATCACTCTGCTTGCCTGAGGGTCTCGGAAAAGCATCTTCACCAACAAAGTGGGCAAGGGGGTGGTCTCCGCTTCAACTGGGGGAGAAAGCCTCCCCTTCTTTAACGTTAGGAATCAGAGAGCTGCGATGCCTTGCCACCAGGCACAGAGCAATCAGCCGTGCCGAAGGCACCAGCATCTGGGGAGTTTTTTCTGTCTCTTCACCAAGGTGAGCCCCCTGGCATGGTGTGTGGGTTCGGCAGAGAGCAGTGGACAGCTGCAGCCTGCCCCTACGGACGTAGCCAAGCCAGGGGTTGGTGTCCCATAATCCTGACCCTGCAGAAGTTTACCCTCCTCTCTGAATCTCTTCCGTGTGGTTTGTCAGAATAAGCCAGCAGGCGTTCGTGGCCTTCTTTCCCAGCCAGGGGACCCTGGCATTGGTGTGAGGTACCCCCGAGAGAGCTGGTCTGTTTTGTTCACTTCCTGGCACATAGTAGATATTCGAAAATATTTGTCAAATGAGTAAAATGAGTCCCGTTTGCCCTGGGTAATCACATCAGTAGACCTATAAAGGACAGAACCCACGGGCAGAGCAAATGAGTCGGTCCTGGTTCCAGATGATGCCTTGTTGCCATATGATGACTACTAATGCCAATTAATACTTGACAGGGAAATATGGTATCAGCTATCCATATTTTGGAAGAAACATTGTATACACTCCCGGGATCTCTGAAGTTTGACCTTAGGCAGATCTAATCACTTCTTTTTAGAGACCTCGAGGGTTTTTGTTTTCATTTTTTTAAGCTTATTTATTTTGAGAGAAAGAGTGCAAGTGGGGAGGGGCAGGGGGAGAGAGAATCCCAAGCAGGCTCCACGCCATCAGCACAGAGCCCGACGTGGGGCTCGCTCCCACGAACCGTGAGCAGACATCAAGAGTCGGACCCTTACTGACCGAGGCACCCAGGCGCCCTGAGACCTGGAGTTGTAGTTACTAGGTAGCGGTAGCAAAATTGTGAAAGCTTTCAAAATATGACACCTGTGGAAGCTTGTGATAATTAGCACCACTTTAAAATATTTTCTGGTGGGGCGCCTGGGTGGCTCGGTCGGTTGAGCGCCCGACTTCAGCTCAGGTGATGATGATCATGGCTTGTGAGCTGGAGCCCCACGCCGGGCTCTGTGCCGACAGCTCAGAGCCTGGAACCTGCTTCTGATTCTGTCTCCTTCTCTCTCTGCCCCTCCCCCACTTTTCCTCTGTCTCTCCCTCTCAAAAATAAATGTAAAAAAAAATTAATAAAAAATTTTCTGGTAAGGTTTATAATTACTAAATTCCTAAAATGTTACATATGGGCTCAGTGGCTCTTCATCTACACTGCTGATAGTCCTTCTGTTACTTTGCAGTTTCAGTAGAATTAGTAATGACAGCAGCCGACTACAGATGGCAGACAAGCATGCCCTCCCTCGGTAGCACGCCTGTCCCTACGGCATGGAGATGAGATGCCTTAGCTGCTGTCAGGTAGAGCACGAGGATGGCACCTCCCACCCAGAGTGGCGTGGCCTGGAGGCACCTGGTCTGTCCTGAGTGGGAGGCCAGCCCCTGTGAAGCATTTAGCAGTCACTGGTCCCACAGACGTCTGGAGCTGTATTCCTCCCGCTTGAGGGGGTCTTTTTGCCGGCTCCCTCCCACCACTGTCCATCAGAAGCAGGGGCACCCGAGTGGCTCAGTCGGTTGAGTATCCAACTTCGGCTCAGGTCATGATCTCACAGTTTGTGAGTTCGAGCCCCACATCGGGCTCGCTGCTTTCGGTGCGGAGCCTGCTTTGGATCCTCTATCCCCCTCTCTCTGCCCCTCCCCTGCTTGCACGTGCTCTCTCGCTCTCAGAAATAATTATTAAAAAAAGAAGCAGCAGGGCTTCTAGCTCCTTGGCCTCCTCCCCAGAGGAGAAAGAGCCTGAGAACTAGTTTCAGCAACTTGATCTGACGCAGGGAGACAAGTTGTAATTATCAGATCCTTCCTGGCTGGGTTTACCGATCACCCTCAGGTTATCTTTCTGGTTCCTGATCGGTTTTGAGACAAAATAGACCCATGCCCTGAGTGCTGGTCTTTTTTTTCAAAGGGAGGAAACACAAGGTAGGTGCCCAGGTACAGGCTGCAACCAGATTGTTGGGACTGTGTAATTTTTTTTCAACCTGTAAGGTTCAACAAATGTTTGTGAATTGAACTGAATTGAATGATGTTAGGCTCTCTCTGGATAATGGCTTGTTTGTTTAACCAGACTTTTGGAACACCTAGTTCAGAAAGAGAGAGAGTACCAGAATCTTCTACGGCAAACCCTAGAGCAGAAAACTCAAGAATTATATCATCTTCAGTTACAGTTCAAATCTAATGGTGAGTAATTTTCCACTTGCTCTGACTTGGGGGAGCAAGACCACTGAAAACCTGCCTAATGGTCTAGTCAGCCTTGACACTGCTGCAGTTATTCTCTATGAAACCAGCAAGCACTCCAGTAGATTCTGGAATACTAATCAACGATAAAAAGGAACTGCCGGTACATTCAAAAACACAGATGAATCACAAATGCATTATGCTAAGTGAAGGCAGATTCAAAGGCTACACACTAGGACTTCCTAAGTATGGAATATTTATATATGCAGTACTCTGTTAAAGGCAAAACTACAGGGACAGAAAACCAATCAAAATGGGGGCAGGGAGGGGACGGATTATTCAAGGCCACAACAACTTTTTGGGGTGATGAAAATGTCTTACCGCATACCTAAACAGGGCGATTTACTACCTACCTTCTGAATTCATTGTGTGCCTACAAAAGGGCTACAGCTGCCTCTTGGAATGTAGAATGGATAGGCTCTGGTACAAAAATCTCAATACTGAATTGTTTCATTTGATTTCCAGTGCAGATAAGGATGGGATTCCTTACAAAAGGCATTTTAAAGACTAGAATAAGCATTTAAAGTGGTAGACCTATAGCATATCAAATTCCAAAGAAGGAAAATCACCCTTACCTGTGGTTCCTTTAATCTCTGGAAAGTGAAGCCAAGAACTGTGTGATGTTGTGCACTGTGGACTAGAGCTGCTAAGACAGGTTTAATGAATGAATTTGCTTTCAAGTCACATTTACGTTCTGGAATAGTTTATTTCATCCAACTTATCTTTGCAGAATTAATATACAACAAAACAAATCTCTCATCGTTGCAGATACTCCAGAGAACCCAGCATCCCCACCAGGGTCTCATGGGCAGAAAATAGATAAAGAGCTTGTAGACTGGTTACAAGAGAAAGGAGCAGATGCGAGTACAATAGAAAAGGTAAATTTGTAACAAAAAAACATTCCTATGCTGTAATAATAACAAATAATAATAGCAGCTTAGCTCTTATGTATTTGATGTCTGTTTCAGATTGTTGAAGAGGGTTATACACTTTCTGATATTCTAAATGATATCACTAAGGAAGATCTAAGACACCTTAGACTACGGTAAGAATGGCTTCAAAACACTAACAGAAAATGACTTTTTTTGCTTATGCTTTTAAATAAAGCAGTAGAAAACAAAGGGCTGGTAACTTTCCCCCTTCATTGAAATTAATTTCCTATCTGGGTAGTGTGTTTTCTAAGCCACAGTCTCAGCCCCCGACGCTGGAGGTTTCCTAGGATCAGGTTGCGTATGAGTCAGAAAGCGGGAGGGGAAACACAAAAGCTCTCCCCCTCCCATCTTCTGCCATCCATGCGCCATCCAACCCTTTTTATTCTCTAGCAACCTGGCATTCCTGCACATACCTCGCAGGTCACGTCCCCTTCCTACTGGGCACAAATACAAGAGGACGTATCTTTAAGTTAGGAACTGCATTTTGGCAAATCTAGACAAGTCTAGAATTACTTAACATAGCTTTTGACATAAGAGCTACCCAGGTATTTGGTGGGGTTTTGAAGTTCTTTTCTTACCACTCTAAAAAAGACTCTGGATTGTTTCCTAGTGGCGGTCTCCTCTGCAGGCTCTGGACAGCAGTCTCCCAGTACAGAAGAAAGGCTCAGGGGTCCCTGGCCTCCCAAGATGAGGCTGAAACTGTCGGCTAAGCCAGGGAATAGAGGGAGCCAAGAGCTGTCATCTTTGTTTAAACTTCTGTTAACCTGACATGAATTTCACCGAGTTTACACAAGGAAACCACCACTATTTAAGACCTTGAAGTTTTAAAGACTTACAGAAACGGGATGGGTTTTTTAAACGTGTTGTTACTTATCAACATGTTTTAAAGGTGAGTGGAACCTTAGCATTGTGAGAACAGTGACTGAACCCTAATTTTAACATCCCAGAATAGTATGGCGTTCTTAAAAACGGATGAAAATTCCGTACACCCTATAGCACTTACTGGAAAGCAGGCTGGCATCACTGTTCTAGACCATGGGGTACTTACAAGATTAAAATGTTAAGAATATGCCTTCTGTTTGATACTGAATGTACATAGAAAACTATGTTTTGTATTTAATATATAAATGAAGAGGTCTTATTTAAAAATGGAATTGTCCTTCTATACCCTGCCTGGATATAATAAATATTGCGTTTTATTGAGCAGTGGTCAGTGTGAATCGGCTTCAGCCTCCACACGCACACTGGTGATGGACACGTGCCACTACAAGGGTCCAGGGAATGATCCTACTCCCCTCGACTGATGGCAGAGTTGGACAGGTAGAAATGGCCATTTTTCACTTAATGTATATGATTTAGCAAATACTTCTCAATTATTAAAAGAAAGAGAACTATTTTAAGTCTAAAATACCCTTTGTAACTTTCACACTAAATACTTAGGTGTGCAATAACGTCTTTCAACGCAACACTATACAAAACACATGCAATTACTATCTTAGCCTACATCCTTTCTTTTTATGGGTTTTTCTTGCTTAATGTTAAAAGTGGAGAACACAGAGTCCCTTACAGTTGAAAGTATCACCATCCGTGATGTGCAGTTTCCCTTTAACTGATGGACTTAAACTTGATCCACTGATTTGCACCCCGAACTTCAAAAGGTGGGTCGCTGCTGTAAATGTGATGGCCTAGTTCTTCCAAAGGCGGTTCAGGATCAGCGGTGGCAAACTGGGCAGCATCCTCAATCTCTTTCCTCACTTCAACATCAATTTCCTAAAAATCAGATTATAGTTCGGGAGGTTTTTGAACACACAGCAGCTTAGGTACCAACTAGCTCTACCTGGAACCTGTTGCTAGTATACAAGTGCTAACAGTTGCTATTTTTGAAGGTGATGATTGTTTTTTTAAATTTTGGAACATTTATGAATTTAACATCCAAAGTCTATTTTTAGGGAAAAAAGAATGGTGCTACCGGGAGGGTTAAAGCTTTTGCAAATACGACTGATTCATGTGCTGTGAAACTTTCCCATTTACGGAGGCAGTTCCCCCAGGAGCGGCAGCTTTCTGTGTGCAGAAAAACGCGTTGCCCAGAAAGGAGAGCAGAGAGCCTACCTTTAATTCTTCAACACTGGCCAGGTTGCTGTTCACCATTCTATCCTTGAGAAGCATAATAGGGTCACTCTTACTTCTTACTTCCTGAATCTCCTCTCGTGTACGGTAACTACGGGGAGGCAAACGAATAGGTAAGAACATTTCCGGTACAGCAAAGACCGTTCTGTGAAATACAGATGTATGTTTCTGACCGGGAGCACAGCAATACCTCTGTCACTGTGGGAACAGTGCAATTCTACTTTCAAAATACAAGAACCCCACCTCTAACAATTCTGTAAGAGCTGCTTCGTGTCTTTGACAGGAAACTCTACCCTGGCACTTCCCCTGGCTTCTCGGGCGGTCTGACAACAGGGGCCAAGCCTTTATTTGCTTCTTGGCTCTAGATGAAGGGTAGGAAGGACGGGGTAGAGCCTCTTTATGTGCCCACCGTCCCACCCTTCTGAGCTTCTACATTTGATGTGGGTGGGGAGAACTACAGACTGTGAGGCAGAATGCCAAGCAGGAAGCAAACGTGAAGACCCCAGAGAAGCGTGGCCAGCAAACCCTCAGACAGGTTTTCCAATCCCTCTTCTATGATACAGCTGACCCCTGAACAACGTGGGGGTCAGAAGCACCAACTCCCCATACACCCCGTAGAAAATCTGCAAATTTTGACTCCCCCAAAAAACACATTTTGTACATGCGTATTATATTCTTAATGTAAACTAGAAAAAAGTGTTAAAATCAGAGAAAAAAAATACCGTTCTGTAAGAAATGGACCCATGCGGTTCAAACCTGTATCGTTCAAGGGTCAACTGTACTTCCTTGTCCTAAATCACATATAACCCCACAAGGAAGGGCTCTACCGTTTTTTGCAAACACCAAGGACACATTTCCCACTTGCTCTTTATAACGTTTTCCCTTAGAACTCCAATCTACTCCAAGGCTTGTCAGGGCTTACTCTGACTAAATCTACTTCTTTTAACTGTGTCACACGCTGGGATGGCAGCATTACATGCGAGAATTATTAAATCGACAAGTAAAACTATCTTCCTACCATAACCTACCTCTCACTGATAGATTTCAACATGTTGAATACCCCACGTGCCAGGTGGCCTCACTCCACACCAGCCAGCTTTTCAAATTCCGAGTCTTCATGGGGGTAGTGCCTACAAAAGCTACATGCCCCTAAATACATAAACTCTCCATACCGTCGACCTGTTTTATGCAATGATTTCTCTCTGCAGTTTTTTTTAAAGTAACCTCTACCCCGAAAGTGGGGCCCGAGCTCCCAATGGAGACACAAAGTCGCATGCTCTACCAACTGAGCCAGCCCGGCGTCCCCCTCTGCAATTTTTTTTTTATTGCTGCTCTTGCTAACAAGAGCATAGTGCATGCTGTGTATTATAGGCATTTTCAGAATGCTTCCAGGCAAAGACTCCTATAACTACTTTACTTGATGTCAACTAATTCACCGCATGAAGCCCACTGGTGTCTGGCTTCCAAAGCAAAGGCAGAAATGTTTGCTTTTTCATGTGAGTAGCCACACACAAAGCCCAGCCACTTGGGACACCACACCCAGATTTCCCATGACCGTACCTGACACCAGGGTCACTCATGCTATGTCCGTGGTAGCGGTAAGTCTGTAGCTCCATCAGTATGGGCCCCTAAAACAGAACCCAGTAGAGACTGAGATGATGGGCACAGCATATCCTTTCAGAATCAAAGATCTTCTCGTCAATCTGTAAATTGGCTGAGTCGTCAAGAATTCCTATTACCTGACATAGCTGTTCTCATTTCTAATACCTGTGTATTCCGTTTCATCCTTCTCATTTTTTTTTTAATGTTTGTTGAGAGAGGGAACACAAGCGGGGGAGCGGCAAAGACACAATGTGAAGCAGGCTCTGAGCTGTCAGTGCAGAGCCCGATGCGGGACTCAAACCCATGAACCATGAGACCGTGACCTGAGCCAAAGCCGGATGCTTAACTGACTGAGCCACCCAGGTGCCCCTCCTCCTCATTCTTAGGAACTTACTGGAATCCAAAAGGCATTTAACATGTTATAGAGCCCACTGATCTTAATCATTTTATTAGCATGGTCTTTGATATATAATAATCCTATGAAACAGCTGAGATTTAATGAAGAAAAACCTATTAGCAGTTATGACACCAAGGGGGAGGGTGTCAGTTTATCTCATCTAGTTTTCCCCCTCAGTCACAGAGGACATGATCTACAAACATTTGGATCCTTTTAGAAAGCTAGAGAAAAACACGAACATAAGATCTCACAGAATAAGACTAAAAGCAAACCTGTATGTGCTGGAAAGTACAGAAGGCAGAAGTACTAAAGCTAGGCTGGGTAGGTGAATCTCCTCCCCCCATTTCACGCAGTGTTTCAGAGGGGCTGGCGACCAATCCTGCTGCACACGGAGCTGGCGAGTGTGTGACAAAGATGGCAGTCATGGACAACATCTGCTGTTTAACCCTGCGACTCTGCCGGCCAGCCTGACCACCCCTAGGACACCTTCCTCCTGCTACGCCAGCCCCCTTCCAGAAGACGAGGTTGAACACTGAGGGGGAGAGGATGGATCTAGGATCCCCGGGCAGTCTGGGTGCGGTAGTTCAAGTGCCTGGGGTCCGATCTGGGCTGTGGCGTACAGCAGCTATGTACCCTTGACTGCTCTGCGCCTTAGGTTCCGGTCAAGAGTTGTGCCGATGAACACATGAGAAGTAGTTACTGCATCACCCGACCTACGTCAATTCCTCAGGAACTGTCACCTATTCTTTCTGTTCTGTGTCATCCAGGAGCTACTGAGAAGCGCAGTGGGTTGGGCTAAGGGGGTTTCTAGATTCCTCTAGTTCCAAGATCAGGCTGGGAAAGTCAACACATACCACAAACCGGTGATAACGTTTCTACATATGTTTGTACCCCACATATTCTTTCAGGAACTGGGGAAGAGGGGAATGATACCCACCTCCCAAGCCTGGACCTCTTCTAGTCTTGGGAGTCTGAATACAGACCGCTGAGCTCACTGCCACCTCAGTCATACTCTACATTTCCCCCTCTGCTCCACCCCCTGCCCCACTAGCATCACTGCTGTCCGAATCTTACCACACAGGGGAGGTCACTGAAAGGTCAACCCTAAGGACATGCTTTCTGGGCTGTGCAACACCAACTTAGGGAGAACATCGTTCTTTCCACCAGCTCTGATGGCACCTTCGCCAACCTCACTGTTGCCCTCTTCCTCTACTGCTCTCCCTGAAAGGTCGAGATTCTCAACTGGAACAGGAAGACTAGGATTACACACTTGAACCATCATATGTAACTTAGAGAAGACAAGCTTACACTGAACACCTGTTATCCAAGCAAAGTTCTGTGCTGAGCATTGTGAGGGTCTCCAGTGTTCATTCGAGGGGCTTATGGAGGGGGTGGGTGGGTAGAGGTTGGAGGCAAACCACAAGGCAAAATGCTGAGGATGCACTCAAAAGATTTGCCCTAAATGGAGGCAACGTGGGATCTTTCGTTTCCCAAAAGGTGAGCTACCAAGACCACACTATTTACAAAGGGCCCCGATTCACTTGACTCTGCTTCTACTTTATACATAACCTCAACTACCAGCTACCCCTGAAGAGCTACGATTGACACACGGGAGGCATTCTTTTAACTTTAAGACAAGCATCAATAGAAATCTCTAGCCCACAGGCCTAAGAGAAAGCCTTACCTTTCCAGATCTACAGTAGGCGGCTGCAAACCTCGTCGCCTCCCGGACACACAGGATATCCATTCCATCTACCTGTTGATAAACAGGAAAGGGGCAGAACATAAATCAACCTAAAACCATTTTATTTTTACAGGACCTATTTGTGCACTAAAAACCGAGAACGCTTCAACGTGTGTGAGATTGTCAAGGTCACGCACAGAGGCATCAAGGGGGTAGCCCTGGCTTCACACCAGATGTCCTTACCCTCAGCCCAGGAATGAAGTCACCTCTCTTGTAGTAATCCGTGCTGGCCGCTGCTCTCTCAACAGATGTTCCCATTCCATAGCGGTTATTTTCACAGATGAAAATACATGGCAATTTCCACAAAGCTGCCATATTGTAAGCTTCGAATATCTGACCCTGGAAGTATGTAGAAGAAGTTCAAATGGTTTCATTTTGCCATTTTTCTCTAGACTTCTTCATCGTCCCCCGCAGCTGCCCTCTGACACAGAAGTTTTCACAAAACACGAAATGCCTCACCTTCCACAAACCAGCTTTTGAAACCAACGAGTGTGTGTTAGGGAAAGGCAGCAGCAAACATCTCTTTTTGCAACCCAAGGAAGGCACAAACCAAATACCACCACTTGTTAAGTGGGGTCAAGGCAGTAGTACGAAACACACTGGCTCTGTGGCTACCTGGTTTTATGCTTTATTGTAAATGCTAGGAGACCCGATGGATAACCAGAGTGAACCGGTGCCTGAGAATCAGCATCCAGAGCAGTGCCTCAGAGTATCGTGCACGGGCTGGTGATGACTCGGGCCATGACAGAAGTACAGAAAGAGTCGCGGCTCACAGACCTTGAGAGGAGTCTGACGATGCCAGGGCATCCAAGAGAATGAGTCTGTACGTTACGGTACTAATTGAAGAATTGGTTTGCAACGGGGTAAAATGTGAAAAGGTCTTTCAGCCGCTGAGCGTTTGTGAAGCACTGAGGTAGAGGCAAAGGAGAGTTCCCTCACAGGTGTGCCCGTACAAAGCGCTTGTGAACAGGCCATGAAGTAAACCTTTAATCTGGCCATAAAACCAAGTTTTAGCTTTCCACGAATGGCTACTTCAACTAATAAGCAATATATTCTTTCTCTATCAATGAACTATGAACGTTCAACACTTTAGGAATAAAACTGCAATGGTTATTAAAAACTTAAGAGGCATATACTCACTTGGTTAGCAGCACCATCGCCATATAAAGTCAAACAGACCTCATCCTTTCCGTTATACTTACAGGCCAGAGCAATCCCTGCTCCCAGGGGTACCTAATATTAAGGACAACCAAGAAAAGAACCACTGAGGTTTATATATACAATGGAATACTACTTGGCAATGAGAAAGAAGGAAATCCTGCCATTTGCAGCAACGTGGATGGAACTAGAGGGTATTACGCTAAGTCAGTCAGGGAAAAACAGATACCATATGTTTTCACTCATATGTGGAACTTGAGAAACTTAACAGAAGACCATGGGGGAGGGGAAGGGGAAAAAAATACTTACAAACAGAAAGGGAGGGAGGCAAACCATAAGGTTGATGGGGGGGGGGGGGGG